ACACAATGAACTCACAAGTGTAGCTGGCTGTGCCCTCTATTGTGGGGGTGAGATAGCACGGGGCAGGGACTGGGGCAAAGTAGGTGGCACCTGCTCTCAAAGCTCCTGGGGTCGGATTAGTCTAATGCCTCATGATGGCCTGGGTTTCTGTTTTTTAATCTTGTTTTATTTTTTACATTGTGAGTATGAATGTTTTGCCCACGTGTATGGCTGTGCACCACAGTGTGCCTTGTGCCACAGGGGCCAGAAGAAGGCATTGGATTTCTTGGAACTAAGGTTACAGAAGGTTATGAACCACCAGCAGGTGCTGGAAATTGAACCTGAGTCTTCTTAAAAAGCAGCCAGTGCTTTTAGCCACTGAGCCGTCTGTCTAGCCCCATGATTGTCTCTTTTGGAATGAATATTTGTGCTCCTCCCATGCGCACATTGATTTCTGGTGTGATGGTATTTGGAAGAAGTGCGGCCTTGAATGACATCATGAAGGCCAGACTGGTGACCTTCTAAGAAGGAGAAGTGGAATCAGGGCTTGCTCCCCACCGTGTGTAGCCATCTGCAAGCTCTTAAGAGAGCACGCACCAGGACCTGATGGCATTGTGATCTTGGACTTCCCAGACCCAGACTGAGAAAAAATAAATTTCTGTTACTTAATCCTCTCAGTCTGTGGTATCTGGTTATAGCAGCCCAGACGAAGATATCTCTGGTTCTCCCCTATTCCTAAGTCATTCTATAAGCCCCTGGGATGCACTCCAACAAGAGATCATGTGCTACTTGGACTGGGGGCTGCAGCTGTTACCATAGCAACCGCAGCTGGGCCCTTGACCACACTGCACCTCTTGCAGGCTGCGCTTAGACTTCAAAGGTCAGTGGGTGCTGCTCAAACCCTTCCTCACTCCAATCCTCCTCCCTCCTCTAAAGCATCGAATGGAACAGGTATGTTGGGAAAAGCAGGAAAGGAGGGGAGGGGAGAGGAGGGGAGGCGAGAGGAGGGGAGGGGAGGGCAGAAGTAGTCTTGAGGACTCAGAATCACTCACTCCTTTCAGATTTAAATCTAGCTTCACTTTGAAGGGCTAGACTAGAAGGAGGCCCCATTTGCAGTAGGGAACACCCCACAAAAATAATTCTTACCTTAAGAAGTTCATATTTCTCTTATATGTCTTTTCTACAGCTATCGACAGCCATAACCCCTGAAGAAGTGAGGCTCCTTTATTATAAGACACACATAAATTATCTTCATGATCAGAATTCCATCACTTATTGCAAAGCTGGAAAGGAAAACAACATACAACAAAATGTCTGAGGACCCTGACTGATATCCAGGCCAAGGAAGGATGGGGAACCACCAGCCAGCTTTTCCCCCAGGAGGAACCCGCGTGATGGAGGAACAATACGGCGCATGACATGTTGTCAACAGGCCATGCATTCCAGGGATGGAACACAGGGAAAGCACTAAACATTTGAACCCTGGGCTACTTTTAATTCCCAGCCGTGAAATGACAAGAGAGTAAACACGTCTACAAAGAGGTGTGCATATTCCCAGGACCTCTGAAAAAGGCAAAGTGTCATGCCTGATGTGACTGTTGACTCTGTGATTTTAAAAAAAGTGACTTTTGGCAGGTGACTCTCATCACACTTGAGAAGCCAGAATTTCTCTGCTGAAAGCCTGATGGTGGCACAATGACATTTTTGTGGAGAGGGCTGTCACTGTTTGTCTTGACTGTGGTTTCGACTGAGGTCAGAGCCCAGAGAGAATCCTCGCACTGACTACATTCCTCAACCCTTCCCCGAAAGCAGCTAAAAGGCTGGAGTGTTTTAATTGAGAATGCCTCCCATCCTGCTGGTCTGAAGGAGAATGATCACTTGAGTTAGCTCTTAGAAACAGCCCAGGCTGAGCATTCTGAGTCTATGGATCTCACCTACTCAGATCATCTTCCTGATGTCTCCGTTGTTGGCAGAAGCTGCGAAGCCACTTTCTCTACCAACTGTGTTCATATTTTAGCTCACTGGTGAATGCTCGATGAGAAAGCTCCCCTTTAAGAAGGCCTGAAATACTTGGCTGTGCATTTAGGCATGATCAATGGAGATTTGGCTCTCACTCTTCCAAGGCACAGGCTCATGTGGGTCAAACAGTTCTGCCTACAGCTGTCCCTCACTCTCAAACCCAGCTTTCTCCGGGACCAAAGACAATTGCTGAGCAAGGACCAGCAGTTTCACACCTATGTGTATCTATTGCTGTCTTCTCCAGATGGAGGTGGAAGAAATGTGTAGTGAATTTAAAGACTGGTGAATTACCAAAACATATGAATTAATAACTAAATTGTGTGTAGCTTTTATCCTACTTTGGCTGTAAAGGAAATCACCGATACCCTGCATAGCTATTTATGGGTGAGGTGTTTGGCGGGTCCAGAGTGCAGTAGTTTATTGAGGCGGAGGAAGGGATTGGGTTCCACTGTACAGGCAGAAGGTCCAGAGTGCAGTAGTTTATTGAGGCGGAGGAAGGGATTGGGTTCCACTGTACAGGCAGAAGAGAATTTACAATTTATGAATGTTGGGGTAGACATTCCAAGCGAAGCAGGAGCATGGTTATAATCTCTGCCTTCATTTTAAACACACACACACACACACACACACACACACACACGTTTCCCTCCCTTCGTCAAGGAAACATCCTTTTGCAGCAGGTGGGGGTATCACAGAATGCAGTAAATGGTCAAAATGCCAAGAACAACAGACTGTGGAATGCCCAACCTCAACCCCTTGGGAGCATTGCTGAAGAGGGGTGGGGCAATTGTAAAATCCAGAGGACCAGGATGTCTGCTGTGAGACAGCAACCAGAGGACCAGGGTGTCTTCTATATGGGACAGAGAAGCTGCACTCGGGAAATCTTAACGATGTGATCACCTGAACAGGACCTGCATAATGACAGTATCAGTTGATGTGTCAGTGTGGATAGGGGAAATCTAATAGAGCATCCCCATGAAGAACTATAGGCAATTAATGGCTGCAGAAAGAGACAGACAGACAGACTGACAGAGAATTTGTCTTCTCTTGGGGTGAGCCCCCTGATAGGTTATTCAGTACCAACTGGTCAGCCCTAAACACATATACATAGGAGCAATACTAAATGGTTTACATAACAATGATAATTAAAGAGGAAGAGGTCATGAACTTGAGAGGGAGTAGGGAGGACATGGGAAGAGTTAAAGAGAGGATAGAGGAAGGAGGAAAAGATGTGAATACAATACGAAAGCAGGAAAATTTCCGAAACCATGCTTTGATTAGTAAAGGGGATAAGTCCAGTTTTCCTTATTGGGAAGATGATGAAACCTAAACAAACATCACAAAAGTATAACCAACTGATAAAGGTGCTCCAAGAATGCAAAGGTGTAAAATCTCTTTCGAGAAAGTAACTTCCTATTGGTTGGTCCCAGGTTTCATTCAGCCTTTTCCATTTCCCAGTGTGATATTCCTAGAAGAAGCTCCAATTCCCTGGAGTGCCTTGTTTCACAGTTTGTTAGCCAAAGGGAGGGGCGTGCATGTCTCTTTAGAATGCATTCATCCCTGCCAGACCCGTTCCATTCCCCAACACCTTGTCTTAATTCTTCTGTCGTGAAATACAATATGTCTGTGTCTGAGCAAATACCATGAACAAAATACAAGTAGGGGCCAAGGTTAAAGCACATTCAGTTTGTGCCAGGTAGCTGTGCATAAGAACCGTTCCTTTATAACATATTGACTTTTAGTTGTTTTTGGAAGGCTGGCACAAACAATTCCATCTTTGTTTGAGACAAGGTCTCACTGTGAAGCCTAAGCTGGTTTCAAACTTAGGATTTTCTTGTTTCAGCCTCTGAATCATCACAGGCAAGCACTACTGTGACCAGCATGCTAAACTCCTAATGGTGGAATGGATGCCATCTCATAATCACACACACACACACACACACACACACACACACACACACACACACACACCAGATGGCTTTGGGCATAGAGCCGGGGGTAGGGGTGGGGCGGAGATGTTCTTGGGAATGCCTGTTTTGAAAGATATTTCATTCTGCAGCTGATTAATTAGATAAAAAATCCAAAGGAATAGCAGTAGTGGCAGGGCTACGTACCTGTAGGGATAGTGGATGACTACCATACTTGTTACTCCTTAGCCGCTGGGTGGACTTTTTATTAGTAAAACCTGTGTGAAGAAGCCACAGGAGGATGCCAGGTGTCCGCCCCCCTCACTCTCTGCCTCATTTCCTTGAGACAGCATCTCTTGTTGAACCCAGAGCTCTCCATTTCCGCAAGTGTGGCTGACCAATGAGTGACAAGGATGTGTCTGTCCCTGCCCATCAACACAGTTACAGGCATGCATGGCCATAGCAGGCCTTGTTTTGTGTGTGTGTTGTTGTTGTTTTGTTTTGTTTTTGTTTGTTTTGTTTTTTGTAGATGGGATCTGGGGATTCAAACTCAGTTCCTATGCTTGGGTACTGGACGATCTCACCTACCGAACCATCTGCATAGTCCACTGAACTTTATTCTTGGAGCGGTTTTAGGCCTGCAGAAACACAGGACACAAAGTACGAAGTGACCTGTTCTCACACCAAAGCATGCTCTCTGTTTCTAGAAGCTTGTATTACTGTCAGCATTTGCACCACCTGATGGCCCCAGCTGCCGAGTTATTGTCAACTACATCCTGCTGCGTGGGTGCTTGTTGCCTGGCACAGTCTCTGGGATTGAAAAAGCAAACGGTGCCATGTGCCACCTTGGCAGTTTATGTGGGATAGCTTTCCTGCCCTAAAAGTTGCCATGTTGACTTAAAAGGAAAGTCAACAGGCTGCTTGAGTCCACTTGCTTTGAGCAATAAGGCATTTACAACTGTTGTATATTGGCCAAAATCATGTGAAACAGCCACTTTGTGAGTCTCCATCCCTAACATCCTCCTTGTGATATTAGTTTCTCATCTAAAATTGGATAGTAAATGATACTGTTCTCCGAACCAGACACTGACAGTCTTATGGGAAGACAAAGATGTTTATTGCATAGTGGAGCTTATCAAAGGGAAAATGACACAATTCATCACATGTCTTTCTTCATTGCCGCTTCAGCTTCTCTTCCTTTCACGGATTCTATTCAAGAGAGAAGGAGGGGCAGTTTAGACCATCACGGTGTGCATTAGCATCTCCGCATTGGAGGCCTGGCCTGGGATTCCTGGGAATTGCTCAGAAGGTAATCCAAATGCCACAGGAGACCTGAACAGCTACACAAAGCAGCCTGCTTAGGACCAAAGAAAGGGTGAGAGATGCCACAGAAAGATGAGGTAGCCTGGTCAGGATAGAGAAACATCCCCGGAAAGGGAGCTCACTTCTCAACCGGAAGGACCAGAGAGACTCCTTGCAGAGGCTCTAGCCAGGCCAGGCTGGTCTGTGATTGGTGGATGAAGGAACCAAGCAAAGCAGTGACCAGCCAGAGGTGGTAGTAATCTGAGGAGATGCGGCTGGCGACCAAATTTTCACAAACCCACCCACTCGTTCATCCATCAGTTACTCTGCTTGGCAAGCAAGAATACATGAAGCATATAGTGAGGACTGTGAAGACAAAAGGGACAGTGTTGATATCCTAGGGTATTTAAAGTCAGAGAGACTGGTGGAAAAGATGGGTGTCACTGAGGTTTCAGATGCCTGACTATGGCGACCCAAGGCAATCAGCTCCTGAAGAGGCCAGCGCGTGAGGTGCCCTTGAGTGAGCTGGACAGGGCCTGGAGATGGAGGTGAAACCCAGGGTCTAGTGAGAATTGCACACCATGTGAGACTTCTGTGCAAGGCAGAAGGCAAAGGAAACCAGGATGCCAACAAGGATGCAGACAGGGAGCACACTACTAGAGGCATTGCCCATAAGCCACAGTACGCAGGCGCTCAGACCCGCATCCTTCATGGTAGTAGAACTTGTTTTAAGTTGCCTTGGTGACTGAGCCTTCGAGGGCAACAGGAAGAAACTGTCAGGAAGATTTAGTACACATTCAGCTGAAAAGGAAGAGAAGCAAAGAGCAAGGAGAGAGTCAGAGGGCTGCAGAGGAAGGGCTGACCAAACTCCCCACACCTTGGGTGAGGAAAAGAGGAAGCCTGGACTCCACATCTCTGGTGTGCTAGCATCAGTGAAGCGGGAAAACAGCGGGTAGCCAAGGAAGAATTGTGGTTTAAATCTGCAGTGGAATAATCAACAGAAGTGGGCGGCATGCTGTTGCGCATTAAGCCCAGAGTTCAACCCAGAAGGATGGATCAACCCCAGACAAGCGCATCAGAGCACCGAGGATGCCTGGAGCCACCAAGACAGGAGGCAGCGAGGGGAGGAAGGGCTGAGGAGTGGAAAGAAGAGTGTTCTATGATGAGCAGGGAGTTCTGGCCAGAGAGGAGAGCCAGGGAAAGGAGAAAAGTCTCAGCAGCAAGGGGTCTCAGGACAGGAGCCATCACCATTATCCAAACCAGACATGGAGTTCAGTGAGGAAAGAGGTGGATGCCGAGAGGGAGGAGGGAGACGCCAGGGTGAGGAGAGAATGAATGAAGTCCATGGATGACAGTGTGGACTGCAGTTTTAAGAGGATAGGATGAGGCGGAGAGCAAGAGATGCTCAAGAAGAAGCGAGATTCATTAGCAACAGGGACCCTTGGATAGTTAGTCCTCAGTCTCAGATTTCATTTGTGGGTTCACTTGCTCAAGCATTTGCTTGTACCCCCAAGTCAATTCTCACGGCTTCTTGCTCATTCGTGTACAAGCTTAGAGTAACTCAAACATGAACATCCTGTCCATGTGTTCCCTGCTAAGGTCCAACGAGGAAACAACCTGTCTTTTGTCTCCATTTCGTGTTCTAAGCAGAGAGGGTTTTTTGTTTGTTTGTTTGTTTTTCAGTTTATTTGCTATTGTGAATTTCCCCTCAGGTTTTACCTTTGTGTTGATAAGTTACTGTTTAAAATGCCTTGCCAGTGAAGTGTGGTGTAGTATACCTAAGTCCAAGAAAGCTGGGGCAGACTTTATGGGCAAAACTATATGTTCTATGGTTCTTTGTGTGTGCAATGTGTTGTATGTTGATGCCTGAATCCTTGTCTCTCTCGGATGCTATGCAAGGACTCTACCACTGAGCTACAGCCATAGCCTTTCTGTGCAGGAAGTCAACTTGCCACTAGAAGACCCTAATGACTCAGAGTCCATCATCTTAACCACTTGGCCACAATCATAAGTCAGCCATAGCCTTTCTGATGGTTGTTTTTTAGTCTGAGAAAAGGTCCCACTAAGTTGCTCATGCTGGCTTTGAAGACTCTCTGTAACCCAGAAGGTCTTGAGCTTGTGACCTTCCTGCCTTAGCCTCTTGTGTGGCTGGGATCACTGCTCTGCACCACCAGGCTCAGATTGGATGTGCTCTCCTCTAGCCTGAGTTATAACACATTGAGTATGCATTTAGTGTTTTTAAAAAAACGAAGAATCAACAAAATACATTCAATAAGCTCTCTAATCAGAACACACATGAAACAACGTTGCATGTCAGGAACACAGCTCCAAGACACATAACCTTATGTTTTTCCTCACCTGCATAACTAATGCAGATTGCGGGAGCTCACTGTACCTGGTAAGACGATTGTTAAGAGATGCAGTGTGCAGGAATGAAAACCAGGGGAAAGTGGAGAGTGGGGAGTGGAGAGTGGTCAGGTTCTTGCCTCTTTGACCCCAGTGGGTTCCCCCACCCCATAACTTCTTGTGGGTGATGGCTCCCTTCAGTGGGTGAATATGTTCTGGAGATCATATTTCACTAATTCTCACTAATGAGCCTGAAACCTGAACAATGAAATCATCCCCAAGAGGCCAAGGTGCCTCAGGTGTTAGGGAACAGTGCCCCCACCTGGTTGTTGATGGTAAGTATGCTGCCCACACTTAGGGCTGGGGTTGGCAAGAACAGATGCAGGGCCTTTCAGCGCATGACAGACAGATCTCAAACACCGAAGTTTCACGTAGAGATGTATCACAAGAGAAAAAAACAGAGGTGTAGGAAGCAGACATGAGAAGATAAACTCCAATCCCAACAACATCTGTGTAAGCAGGGCCTCTCTGAACTTCTTGCTCCCTCTCTAAGAAACAGATGATCACCAAATAGTAGACATAGGCAATAGGTGTAAAGAGAGTAAACGCGCTTGCGAGTGACGGTCTTCCTGGGTGCAGTGGCTGGAGGCAGAGAGGACATTGGATAACAGTGGCTGTAGGAATGATCTTTTCACTATTGGTTTATGGAGAAAACCCATCAGACCTGCCTCTGTCACTGCTCTTGGGTACAGGTCAACAATCCTATGGACAGCCACAGGCCAGCATAACGAAAAATGCCCCAGCTCAGACACTTCCGGCCACTCAACAGCTGGCAAGATAGAACTGTCCTGGCTACAAAGATTAAGAAAGTGTGGGACTCTCAATTAGACCCTTTTCAACATGAGAATTGGTTCCTGGTTTTCTAAACTTCCAATTTAGAGTTAGGTTTCCTAGTTAGAGTCCTACTAACAAACAACATCACTGCTCTTTTATTAGATAGTACGTTTCACTCTCCACTCATGGATTAAATCATTTCTGGCAACCTTAAAGAAGCCAGAACAGTATTTACTAAGTTATAGACACATTTTCTCAGCTTCTCTTTTAATCCAGGGACTGGGACAAGCTCCTGATAAAGTGAGAAAAGCATGATTCAGAATTTTAAAATAGTATTCTCACTAATGGTCAACCGTCCACTTATTCTGTTCCGATTATCTAATGATGTTAATAAGGGCTACTTTTATACATAGTTTTATATAGACATTAGGGATATCTTCACTAGTCACTGAACTGAAATAATAAGGATGGCCAGGTAAGGCACCTGCACAGAGTCCACCATCTAATGGGAAGAAAAAGAAACGAGAAGCGGTGCTCAGGTGGAGCTTGGAGGTGCTGAGTCGGGCTCTCAGGGCTGGGTGCCTGTCGGAGACCATGGTGCCAAGTTAGAGAGAGGCCAGCTGATCCCAGAGCACACTGGGGCTGCCTCCTCACTAGACCCACTCTGTGACCATTACTAGCTTCATTTTACGACTCTAGGAAACACAGTGGGCTGTTTCAAAACCTGCCCTGCTAAAGGTCACATGAGGGCAGAGATTTAACTGGGACACTAGCAAGAATCAATGCACAGGCCAAGGCTGCTGCATTTGGTCTTTGGTCTGTGCTGCATTTAAAGACATGTGTTTTGGGGTGATTCATGTCTCTGCAGATGTTAGATGATGCAACTATATTGTGACACATGCATGAACACTCGAGGTAATCATATCATTAATAAACAAAGCACAGCTGACCCACTGAAAATTCTACCCTCACACCCCTGCCCTCGCTCCAGATGTTCTACTGGGGCAGTTTTTGCATGTATGTAAAGAATACGATGAGTCTCTTTCTTCATAATGAATAGTTTCTTGATCTCAGTAGGAAGACAGTTTTTATTTTTAGATTAAAAAGAAAATCTGCCGCTTGCATCTTTCATCCATAGTGAATTTTCTCTCTATTTTAGTAAAATGTCAGTTGACTTCTTTCAAATTGTAAGTCATTTGTGCACGAATACTAAGGCTTTGTTAGTAATTTGTGTGTGCATCTGTAAACATGGCTGCCCTCGAATTCACACCTGTAATTCCAACTTGGTTGTTTTGTTTTGTTTTGTTTTTTGTTTTTTTTTGGTTTCTCTGTGTGGTTTTGTAGACCAGGCTGGCCTCAAACTCACAGAGATCTGCCTGCCTCTGCCTCCCGAGTGCTGGGATTAAAGGCATGCGCCACCACCACCCACCTATGTAATTCCAACTTTTTATTATTTTTAATTTTTTAAGACTTATTTATTTTATGTGTATGAATACCTGCCTGCATATATGTGTACCTGGTGTCCACAGAGGTCAGACAAGGGGGCTGGGTCCGGAGTCACACATGGTTGTGAACTACCATGTAGGTTCTGGAAATCACATCGTGTGCAAGAGCAGCAAGCACTCCTAACCACTGAGCCATCTGTGCAGCCTTTGCAATTGTAGCTTAAGCTTCCTTTCCATTGGAGTCCCTGTGATACTCGTGAGTTTTCAGGATACTTATTCTGCTTGCCCTCACACCCGATGGTTGAGAATGTGGATGGTGGTGAGAAGACTCTACCATGCTGGGTGACAGGTTAGTAGACCCCAGTTCCGCAAAGCACCAGGGAGAATGTAAAAAGCCTTTGCTCTGTTTTTCTCAGTGTCTGGATTTTGCACATCTGTGCTTTAGCCTGCAAGTGAAGTCAGCATCAGAGGATGACTGTGGAAGATCAAGGTCTCTTTATCTTCCAGTATAAACCCAAGGACAGCAGGCAAGCCGGGCGGAGAGAGATGAAGCCCGGGGTCGGAATGCAATCAGTTCATCAGTAGTGAAGGAAGGGAAGGGCAGCCAACCTTGCATCCCACAGATAACAGGGGATGAGGAAGGACAGAAAAGAATGTTCAGTGATGCTTCCCAGATCTTTTAAGTTGGGAAAATTAGGTGGGCAGCAATGGCATCACAAGAAAGGGCTAGCAGAACTTCTGGACCTCACAATGTACCCATGGCCTCCAGCAGGCAGTTGACATAAGGAACCAGATCTTGGGAGAGTGTGATACATTTGAAGATGGCCTACACAGCCATGACAGTGATGAGCAAGTAAAAGGAAGAGATGACAGGGTAGTCTACAGAAGACAGAAAGAACTGGGCTGAGAGAGCATGCGTGGCCAGCAGTGTTGAAACGACAAAGAAAGAGAAGCCCATGAAAAAATGTTGTGGAGCCTCCCAGGAAGGAAGAATGGAGGGAAGGAAGAGATGGGAGAGAGGCTGTGTAAAGTGGGGCTATTCTCTTTGTGGTTTGTAAAGTGGAGAGACTGGGTCATATCAGTAACAGCAGATGCCATGCGGGGAGGATGGGGGCCTCCAAAGATGGAAGCACAGTGGTCGGAGAGGCAGGAGGCAGAAGAAAGCCAGAGTGGGCTCTGAAGAGCAGGGGCAGGAGAGCTGGAGCCCTCCAAAGCCATGGCATTTACTCTAAGTTCCTTCTGCTTCTAAGGGATCATAGAGTAAGTGTTGTCCCTTACCTCCAGGAATGTCACTCAAAGCCAGAATTTATTCTTGCTCTGTGTTGGAGGTTCTGGAACCTTCTGTGTGTGGGAGGATGCCCCCTTCTCACCGTCTCTAAAGATGGATGGGAGAAGCAGAGGCTCAGTCAGGCATAACTTATTGAGAACAAGCCAAGCATAACCGGAGCCCTCACTGCCCACAGAACACCCAAGGCACCATCTCCTGTCTTCCTCAACAGGCCTCAGGCCCTCTCGTGTCATCGCCGCACCCAGAGCTGACTTCTCACTCTTTAGCTCACGTGACACCCTCGGCCTCAACTGCAAGTCCTCAAGGGCAGGAACTGTCACACTTCTCTTTCAGTCCTCCGTGGAAGCCACCCCTTGCTTGTCACACACATTTGTGGAATTAAATTAAAATATTATGTTCAAAGGCATCTCTAAGACAGCTGTACATCTGCATTAATGATGCTCCAAGGCCCAAATGTGTTTAAGTGTTGGCTTGGAGATGCCTTCTGACACACACAAGAGGAATGGTCACATGAATTTACATCTGTACTACATTTTTCATCTCTTGTTCTCTCTCTGCATCAACTCCCTTCGTGTGTGTGTGTGTGTGTGTGTGTGTGTGTGTGTGTGTCTGTCTCTTTCTGTCTCTGGGTCTCTCTGTCTCTCTTTTTGTTCCTCCAATGTTCTCTGTCTCTATCTCCCTATCTCTCTCTTCCTCTTTCTCATCACTGGGGAAATCTGACATGTTTTAGGGGGACACACACATCCCTATCACGATACCCATGTGGTAAGAAACTAGTTTTCAGCTCAAAGCGCATGGGGACCTGAGACCTTTCAACAACCAAGTCAGGACCTTGGATACCAACCCACTGACCCCAGTCAACATCAGCTGGAAAGTGCCCATTGACAGCCTATCAACCTGATGCAGAGACACTTAACTAAGCTGCTTCTGTGTTCTTAACCCCAGAAACTACAAGAGGTACAGGATTTGGGGATACGTTGACATGTAGCAGTAACAATTGAAGTAAAACCTCCACATAGATTATCCATCTGTTTCATCAGATTTATTTCTTGCTTTCCATCATTTCCAGAATCAAATCCCAAGAGCTAACCGTTCCTACTGTGGCAGACATTCAAGGAATAGGCTGTGAATTCTGGAGGCAATTCTGCAGGAAATGTCCAAAAGAACACTTGAGCAGTGGTCATGGCTATGCCAGCTCTGTGTGTGTGTGTGTGTGTGTGTGTGTGTGTGTGTGTGTGTGTGTGTGTGTTATCCCAGAGACAAACCTTAGGGGTAGGTTAAAAACTTAAGTTTCAGGTTTAATTTCTATTTCTCAGGAAGATGAGATGTAGTGTTCCCTAATGTGTGACTATCAATGCCATTTGCTGTAACAGGGCTCTGGACAGCAAGGATTTCACAATGCTAGAAACAAGTGTGGCGAATGCATAGGCCTGGAAGATAGATAGGTTGGTTCAAAGTCCTGGCCTCTGTGCAAGTCACATGGCTGGGGACAACAGGGTCCACCCTAACTATATAGATGAGGTTGACTCTTCAAGGGGAACACTGTCACACACAGGACCCTGGTGACTCAGATAATATATGCAGGGGAATAAGTGTGTACAAATACGGGACCCTCTTATAGGGAAACTTTGCCCCCCCTGCCTGTAGAGATGGTGGAACCATTAAATGGAAAAAGATCTGTAGACATAGAAAGAAGTACCTTACCAAGGCCTCCAGGTAGACTGAATAAGGAAACTGACTGTACAGGGAAGGACTATGGGTCTAGTCTCTTCCATTTACTGAGAAGTCTTGTCACGTCTAGCAAAGAAAGCAGATAACCAGAGGGAAGGTAGCCCAGAGGGAAGGTGGGTCAAGAAGAAAGGTCAGCGATGACTTCCCAATTTGACTTAACATTTGATTTTTGGTAACTTTTATGTGAGCTAGTGCCTCCAAGTTATCTTCTCCTGGTTTACAAAGCAATTTTATATATTAGTGTTGTTGTTTGTAGAAATTATCTTCTATTTCAGGGTTTGTCCTTGGTGCAATGGCTTCAGTGTGGGCCCAACTGATGAGCAAAGATTCTAGTGGCATCTCACAGAAGGAAATAGACCACTTACCAAGTGAGCGCTCCTGGAATCGTTCATCTCTGGCTGCATCAGAAAGAAAACCTGTAACACATTAAGAGCGATCAGTCAAGACCAGGCTGGAGAAGCCCACAGAAACAACTAACCTGAACATGGACCCCTTGACTGATAGCTAGGAAACCAGCATAGGACAGACCCAGACACCCTGATTGTGGGTGTCAGTTAGGAGGCCTGGGCAATCTATGGGGCCTCTGGCAGTGGATCAGTATTTACCCCTAGTATAGGAATGGACTTTGGGAGCCCATTCCACACAGAGGGATACTCTCTCAGCCTAGACACACAGTGGAGGGCCTAGGCCCTGCTCCAAACAATATGACAGATTTTGAAGATTCTCGCATGGAAGGTCTCACCTTCCCTGGGGAACAGAAAAGGGATGGGATATGGGGTTGTTGGGGGGCAAAGGAGGAGGGAGAGGAGCGAGAGGGAACTGGGATTGACATGTTAAACAAGCTTGTTTCTAATTTAAAGTTTTAAAAAAGGGGAAAAAAAGAGCCATTAGGCCAGACCTCCCCACCCACTTCCAGAGACAGCTGTAATTGTAGAGCTGAACCTGCAAATACGCTCCTTAAACAGAAGAGCAGCATAAGACAGCAGAGCATTTTACTGATGTTAACACCAACAGGAAAACTTATCAGAAACATAAAACAATGGCTTCTAAATAGTAGAGCATGAACATGATGCCATTTACAATTAAACATGGTACAGGGCAGGGAAATGAAGACCCTTTTATCACCCAACCAAGACACCTGGAGTGACAGTGACATGAATGCCAGTCACTGAATGCCAGAGATGGCTGAGTCTACCCTGATTAGACACATAACCACACACTGGACCCTACAATGTGGATGGTGCATGTCCAAGCGTGAGGTCTTTAGTTTTTGTTTTTTGTTTTTGTCAACTTGATGTAACTAAGTAACCTGAGAAGAGAAAACCTTGCCTGAGAAAATGCCCCTACCAGATTGGCCTGTATGCAAGTGTGTGGAGGGTATTTTCTCAAGTGATGTGGGAGGGCTCAGCCCACTGTGAGTAGTACTACCCCTGGGGAGGTGGCCCTGGGTTCTATTAGAAACCAGGCTGTGCAAACTATAGAGAGTAAGCCAGTAAGCAGCATCCTTCCATGGCCTCTGCTTCAGTTCCTGTCTCCAGGTTCTTGCCTCGAGTTCCCTTCATGATGGACCATTATTGAGATGTGTAAGTCAAATAAGCCCTTTCCTCCCCCAAGCTGCTTTTGGTTGTGGTATTTTATCCCAGCAACAGAAGCAGACTAGAACAAGGGGAAACTGACATTGGCCCTACCAGCCCGCAGTTGGGACCACTGAATGCAATCCTATATGGAGAACTCTGTAAAAATGCTTAAACAAATGGTTGCAACACTACCCGGTGAGATAAGAAAGGAGCAAAGTAAAAACCAAGTGTTTGCTTTTTGTAATGCTTTAATTGTTCAAAGGTTATCTGTAGAAAAACTAGCTGTATCTAACTTTAAATGATTCCAGAGAACTGTAGTTTGAAGTTTATGAAGGAAAAAGAAATAACATTAAAGGTCATAGATTTCAACTTACCAAGCAGATAATCGTTTCTCCGTCTATAGGATCTTGGCATGTCCCCAAAAAACATCTAAAGAAGTTTAAATATCAGGATGAAAGAGAAAACTGTAAATGCTACATAGAGGACTCATATATAATGCATTCAGTGAAATAAGGATAGCACTCTGTGGTATCTAACGTGTATATTCAAGAGAGTACAGTAAGAAACTGGGAAGATGGCTCAGTGGTTAAGAGCACCTCTGCTCTTCCAGAGGACTTGGGTTCAATTCCCAGCATCCACATGACAGCTTAAAACCACCTGGAACTCCAGTCCCAGTGAATCTGATGCCCCCTTTCTGACTTCTTCAAGCTCCAGGCACACATGTTGTACACAGACATGCATGCAGACAAAATACATACTTACTGAAATAAACAAATTAGTTAATTAAAATTGCTTTAAAGGAAGAGAACACAGGAAAAACAGATGGGATGATGCATGCCTGGATCCAAGCAATCCAATGGCAGAGACAGGGAGGTTGTGAGTTCAAGACAACTCAGGGCTGTAAAGTGAGAACTTGCCCTACCCACAAAGAAAAGAAATGACGGAAGCAAGGAAGGAAAGAAGGCAAGAGAAAGGGAGGGAGAGGGCAGGAAATCACATGGAGAAGAGTAAGTTATATGAAGTTTAAGTTGAAGCCAAAGCTTTCACTGACCCGGTATGTGCTTCTAACCACTGCGGAGCAGAAATGGAACTTTATAAGTAGACCAAGTTTGGGTCAAAAGGTTTAGAGGAAATGTCTCTATGAGAATTCCAATTTAGATTCATGAGATCAAAAGGGCCCCAAGTAGTTTGTATAAAATGCCCAAATCCACAAATAGTCAAGAAGGGAAGTCTCCTGCCTTTCTGCCTGCTGGCTACTTCTCCATCCTCGGCAGCCACCATGAGGTTCTGGCTCCCATCATGGGGACAGAGCAATTGGTGAGGACTTAGCAATGCAGTGCAGTGAGCGATGCTACGGCAACCAGAAACCACATAAAAAAGAACGGTATTGGACCATTCCCCCATACTATATATTAAAAACTAAACCAGAGTAGATCATCAATATAAGACTGAAGTATTTGTAAGTCTTCATAAACAATAAAAGAGAAAGAAATTGGGTGTAATAAAAGGCATCACAGGGTGGGGGCTTGCAAAGTGAGAGGAAATATTCACCACAAAATCTATAATAAAAAGGTAACTATAGCACAGGAATTGACATTTTCCCTAAGACATTCAAACGAACAGTCATGAGAAAATGAAAATTAAACCATAGCAAAGTAGCTCTTTGTACATTATAACATGGCTAAAATATAGACAAGCAGGAACCAATGTTGGTGAGGTGTAGAAATAGGAGCTCTCCACCAGCTAGGGTGGTGCTTGACTGCAATCCCAACACTTGGGGGGCTGAGACAGGTGGATCGCTGTGAGTTCAAGGACAACCTGAGCTACATACTAAAGCTATCCTGGGATACATAGCAAGAGCCTATCTCAATAAAAAAGAAAAAGAGAGAAGGAGAGGGAGGGAGGGAAAGAGGGAGAGAGAGAGAGAGAGAGAGAGAGAGAGAGAGAGAGAGAGAGAGAGAGAGAGAGAGAGAGAGAGAGAGAGAGAGAGAGATTACCAATCCTGTTTCTCTGGAGAATTCTGACTCATAGACTGACTGTAGAGCTTGAACGTTTCAGGTTTAAGTCAAATTCTCTTGGGCTATCTTAGCTCCCAGTAGCCTTTTATTGCCTCTCTCTCTGTATAGCCTAACATTCTTGAGATCATCAAGTCAAATCCTTTTGGGAGCGTACAGATCCCTAGCTCCTAGCAACCCCAAAGCTAAAAGTAACATCAGACACATCTGAGGCCTCTAGCTGTTGCCCCTCTTTGCTGTGACCTACATGAGATTTCCACAATCGTATAGAAAATCCCTTGATTGTGTACTTTAATTGTTCTGCTCCTATGAAAACATGAAATAAAAAGCAAACTATCATGCCGGGACATAGCATTTGGGGTTCACTGAATCTGTGCTCCCAGGCCATGGTCGCTCATATTTAGCTCCCAAAAGAACTACGTTTTATTCCCTTTGAGGTAAGAGCTGTGTTGCTGTATTTTGTGTCATGGGAGTGGCAGGGGTCGGGTGGGGTGGGGGAGAAGTAGGATTATGGAAAATGAGCCAGTAGTTCAAGGGAGACTCCCTCTGTGTTAGCAGAATTCTGTGTACTGGCATCTGGATGACGACCCAGCTACCCCACCAGATAGCTCAGCTTTCACAGACCATCCCCAGACCCATACCTCTTCACTGCTGTTGGACTCAGATGTGGAGGCCCAGCGGCAGTGAGCCCACACGTCCTGCACCTGTCCCTTGGACATCTGCACAGTGCTCCTGCAAGCAGCTGTTGGCTGGCAAAGACAGAGTCGTGAGTTGCTTCTTCAGCACCCTGTGGGAGAAGTTAGCCTCTGGACAATAAACTGGGAAATACTGCAGGGTTTGCAAAAGGAGGCAGAAAGGAGAAATTCACAGAGGCCGTTCAGTTTTCCAAAGTGAGCCCTCAGCAGAACTCAACAGCAATAAAAGGAATGTTTAAATATCTCCACAGGTTTAATACCAGTCTCCAAGAAAAGTCTGCCATCCCTTGTGAGTACAAAGGACTGTCTGAAATCTACTCTTGTTTAAACAGGAACAAGTGGTAGAGATGCCATACATTTGACTATACGGCATATACATACATACATGTATGTATCTCTGTGTATATGTATTTGGCATATATACGTGTATGAATAAGTCACTTGACCCTAAGATTTAATTAGACGTCCATGCATGTGACAGTCCTCTGTAAGACACAACCCCATTGAAGTTTCATGAGATAAATAACAAGATAATTCCCTCTGTAATGAGGTCTCAGGAAGTCACTCATTTGGCTGGAAACATTTTGGGTCTCGGCTGATGGTTCCAGTCTGGTTAGAGAGGGTTCTGTCCCACAACAGCTGACTATTCCAGTCATGGGGAACATAGAACTAAATAGGCCATGTGACCTCAATGAGAAGGGGAGACAGGCTGTGGCCAACACTATTATGGGCCGTGCACCAAAGTGAGGCTCATAGTTTCACACTCAGGTTGAGCAGAGTGTCAAGTGTGCTGGGACTTCTCTTGGCTGTAGGTTTCTCTGCATCCACTATGCCCGATAGAACCATCTCCACCATGTGAGACTGATTTAGTACCTACCGGAGATTTCATCTGTACTTTAGAGAACAGGACACTGGGGCAGTAAGGGTTAAAGAACTGACCAATAACACCAAACACTGCAGATTCCAAGCTCAAGAGCCACTCCCTTGGGCACACAGCACACAGACCATGGCAGGAAATGCTGTGGTGACCCCAGTGTGTGGCTGAGTGCCAGAGAGGTAGTGGTCAAGCTCCATTGGTGACCCCTGATGCACTCCGGTCATGGAAGTAGTGAGGGTCTCCCTCGTATTACTTCCTGGGTCACTTACCACATAGTAGCCCCTTTGGAATGTACAGGAGGAGGTATCGCTAGAATCTCTTAGACATGTAGTTTCCTGAACACTGAACTCCAAGTTCATGACCAAGGTGTCTTCATCCAGGACATTGACCTTCACAAAAGCAAAGCAATAGACATGTTGCTGAGATTCATGGTGCTGGCATGATTTCTGCTGCCCAATGAGAAAACATTGGTAGAATCACCTACTCACTGGGAAAGCTATTTGTTGTCATAGCAGCATCCATGCAACTGCATGCAGACATGCACTCACACTGAAGCCCATAGAGAAAAGCCATGCAAAGCTGACAACCGTGGAACCAAAGAAGCTGAGTGTTGGGGGCACTCCTTGAATCCCAGCACTCAGAAGAGCTGAGGCAGGAGGTTTCAAGCCTGAGGCCAACCTAGTCTATATAGAGAGACCTTATCCAGAACAATAGTAAATGGAAGGAAAGGAGAGAGGGAGGGAAGGAGGGAGGGAGGGAGGGAGGCAGGGAAGGTACAGAATGTATGCCTTCACACCAAGGCCAACATTGCTTCTAAAGACTTACACTGGCAATTCCTTCTGTGTAAAGTCCATACGTGTGAACTCACCTAGTCACCGAGTATTATTTGCAACTCCTAAATCAGTCACCTAGATTTTTCCATTGTTCATGAACACATGCAAATTGGCAAAACTTTGAGTCCCCCAGTGTGCATGTCCCCAACTAAAGGGAAGGAGGAGGTGAGGTGTTCTGCCTTCTTCCAGCCTGTGCACTGTGAACACGGTGCTTGTGTTCTGTTGGGAAACTTGTGATTGTCGTTTGGTGCTTTCTTTGGGTCATCTCAGTCCCCAAGCTAGGGCTGTCTGGCCTCAAGAATAAGAGACCATGATGTGCCTTATGTAGAAAACACACTTCTTTGGGTGGTTGCTGGGCAGTAAGTTCAATGCTAATGAATCTACAATGTATATTAGGTACCAATAAGCTAAAAAAACAAAATAAGGGTGTATATTGAAAGTGCCAATGAAAGTATTGTACCCCAAAGCTGTTGGGAACCTCACTCTGAATCTGTCCTAGGAGCCATGATCTAGTCTCTGCCAGTTCAGTCTGGAAAACAGCAAGAATAGATTGCATGGACTTGAATTGACATTTTTGTCATGAAGGCACCATACACATTCACCAGTTCCTAAAATAAGTAAGGCTATCTCCTGGTTGAACACTTTTGACCTATGACTAAATCTGCAACATTTTCTGCTACGGTGGCATGCCAGGGAACCTTTCAAACTTCCTGAAGAACCTGTGTGGTCTGAGGACAGGGAATAGAGTGCTATAGCAAGCTCCTCCCTGTGCACTGGGCACTGAGGCAGGGCAGTAAAGATGCCAGGTAGATGTGATTACAGAGTGGGTACCACTCCACAGCTGTCTGAAAAAAATTAAACAAGACCACTTGGGAAGTTTGTGCTGAAGAATGACAGCAAGCACGTGATAATGGAGGAGAAGGGAGGAAGCAGCTGTGGTATTAAAAGAAGGCCCAGAAGAACCTTCCAGAAGAGGGAGAATGTAGGCAGAGACTCTAAGGATAGGCATTGCTGTCTGAGGAAAGAGCAGAGTCCAGTGTCCCTGGACAAAGTCTGACCCTTGCTGCAGGGGAGTCATTTACTAAAAGGTTGGGAGATGGGGAATGCCAGTCAAACTGCAGTCTGTCAGCCCTGGGAGGCCTTTACCGAGTAAGGAGGCGACCCAGGCTCCTCTGCCCACCCACCCACAGTAATTTCTGTTGCCAACATCCACTTGGTCATACTCTTAGGATTCTGTCTCCAACACACTTTTTAATTCTTCCCACAACCAGACTAGAGGGCTGGGTTTCCAGGACCTTTTATTTTGCTTCTCTTCGAATTACACACTCTGCCTTTATACTAACTAGCTCTCCTCCCATTTGACTGCAAGTGGCCCAAAGAAGCCTTCACACTTGGCTGTGCACTGTTCCTTCAGGCAGACACCTTAGTTTCCTGAGGGGTTGTAAGGGGGTACATAGAGAGAAAGGGCCATCTGACTAGTGAGGAAGCCTGAGGAGGTCTCTCTCACAGACGAGGAGCATGTTACTGAGGAGCAGTGTAAAGGCCACTTCTGTTCCGTCGGGTTTTTTTTTTGCAGGAACTTCAGTGGTCCTGTGTGCATTTCCTGTGCCATCACAGAATGCAGAGCCCAAGGAGAGATTGTGGAGATTGCCGCTTGACCAATATGCTCAAATGATTGGGAGAGCAAAGGAGTAGCAGGAACAGGCTGGTAAGTTCGAGATGGGAGAGCAACATACGAAGACAGCAAGTGCCACACTAAGTTCTGTTAGGACCCCATAAATCACTGTACATGGCTTATCTTTAGGTATGTGGGCTTGGGGTCAGGCCTACCTGGCTACACCAAGATGACCACATGTCAGCATATTCTGGGTTAGCTGTGTCTCACTGGCTAACCTCTCCATGGTGTCCCTGTTTTCCTATTTAATAAATTGCTTTGCTCTGTAGTGAGCAATAGCTAAATTACAAGTGAATTTAAACTGTTGATCTGCAAGTTTGGCAAGAGGATGTGGGTTCTACAACACTCTAAGAGAAATGCACCCATTGCCAATGGAACACGGCCTGGATGCCAGCAAAAGCAGGGTTGGAGAAAGCAGCAATTTCACTTTGATGTAACTTGCTTCCAGAAGCAGTTTGGCTGGCAGCTGCCTACACCCACCTCCAAGTTCCTCCCCACAATAGTGTTCAGTGCCAACCTTGACAGTCGGGTCCCGGGGCGGGTGCCTCACTAAGGCTCAGCCCACGTCTTCAAGACCAATGCCCAGCTAGAAAAGGCAACTGAAGCTGATCAATGAATTTGCTTTGCATTTGGAAAAGAAAGCATGGGACCAGTGTGTGAAAGGGGTGGGGAGCAAAGGGATTTGTTTTACGTGAGGGCAAGCTGGGAAAGTGAAGTGCATACTCTGTTGAGGAGCAGGGGAACAGCTGAGTGTGAGAGGTCGTGGGTCTAGAATAGGATGGAGAAGCGAGAAAACCGTAGAGACTGTGGTGGCAGTGTGGTCTCTACATGGTGGTGGTGGCTGCCTGGACACGTGGCCGTGTGGCTCCACCCTTGTCTCCATGAGCCTGGCTGCTCTGTTTCTTCCTCATCTTTAGGATGAGCATCAATTTCTCCTCCCCCGAACCCCATTAAGCTGATGAGACAGTGAAATCCTGGTGGGTGGGCAGGGAGCAGAGAGGATCCTCTAGGATATTGCTCCATCCCTCCCCCCTTTTTTTGCTACACAATAGCACAGCAAGCCCAAGTTCATGTCACCTCCCCCAGTCCTCTGATGATCAGGAGACAGCACTATGAAGTTGACAAGGGTGGGGATGTTTCTTTGGCTCCGAAGACAGCGCTTCTTCCCTATAAACACTGGGAGCCCGACACTGAGTGGGAAGACAGTCTCCATATCAGAGCAGCTCCTCCCAGTCCAACAGCATCCTAGGAGCCAGGAAGCTTCAGGGTTCTTTACCCCAAACCAGGACACACACAGAGAGAAGCCAAGGTCACAGGGAAAACACATAAGGAAGAATCAGATGTGCCAAGAAGCTTTGAGAACCTCAGGGCACAAACTATCATTAAAATCTCTTCTCTGAAACAATCAGCATGAAAAAGAACTGGCTGTGATCTTTGTAAAGAGAATTTTAAAAAAATGATCTATTCAACAAAGTAAGCAGAGACGAGACAGAGATAGTGAAGAAGGCAGGGGAAGTGTCCCCATTCACTCACTCTCTTCAAGGAATTCCGGATCGCCTGAAACAGGTAAGGACTCAGGGACTGAGAGTTCACCTTTGCCACGGAGGCCTTGAGGGCTTCCTGCAGGGAGGAAGGGTCGAAATCGTACACCGGGAAACCTGGACAGCAAGAACACAGGCCGCAGTGAGAGGGGATAAAGCCTGGAGAGAGCCATGATCACCCAGAGCAGGTGACTGAGTGTGTCCTTTACCTGAGGCCCACCGGCAGTGCATTCCCAGCGCCAACAGAACAAGTGTCTGTAGCATTGCCAGCTCCATCCTGAGAACTGTGACCCAGAGGCAGGAGACGTCCTCTCTACAGCTTCGGATGACAATTCTTTCTGAGTGAAGCTGTCTTATCCTTGTCACCCGTGACCTGGCTGCCCCGGCTGACTGGAGCAGTCCAGAATTCAAGAGAGATGGCTGCCTCTGGTGTCAATATTTACTGCTGACTTGGCCTATGGAAAAGTTCCAGGTTGAGGCCACTTTTGAAGTTTGGACCTTTCCAAGGGACTTTAGCCCACAGCAGGAGACATCAGAGAAGCTTGGGTCTTCCCTGCATGATGTGTATTTTCTCTCTTTGCATTTCATTCTTTTGGGGGAGGGGATATAACTGTAGATGCAACCAAAAGGGGAATTTAAAGCCACTGTGTATTTATTCCTTACCTGGTCCTCAAAAACCTACACCCTCGTCTCTTGGTGCCAGCATTCCCTCTTCCTAGAGACCGTACACAGGCGATTTTGCCTGTCTGCTTAGCTCTGCCTGCCACCTCCTGTACATGCCTGGGGCCATGATTCAGAAACCACCGTGGCCATGTTGGTGACACAGAGCATAATGAAGTACGTGTTGAATGAGTGAGCACGTGAATACACCAGGTCTCACTGAGCTGTATTTCGGGTCTTTCATTTGAAGCTAGCACTAACTTCTGGTATCTAACAAGCACCCAGAGCACGCTGCTATGAGACAATGACCACTAAAATTTGTAATTCCATTACTTTTAACCTGGTTTGAACTTAATTCCATTAGAGTCTTCCAGATTGAACTAACGTCACCATCTGGCTCCAAACACTCTGGTCTCATTAAATGAACTGCAGTAATAAAAGCAATTGCAGATGAGCGAAGGAGATGAAGGAGACAACAATAGCATCGTGCTACCAGCACAGGGCTATTGATTTTGCTTGATGCTTGCTGGGGTGAGGAGGGAGCACTGGGTTTCTCGGATCCTCTTGGCTATAATTAAGTGTTAGCACCAGGCGTGCAGGGTGGGCTCTGATGAGAGCTAAAAAGCAATGATTTTTAAATGCCCCTGCAGAATTCCATCATGTCTTGTAAACCCAGAAAGATTAAATATAAACCATCCAGACACGCTCGTGCTATGGTGATTTCTTGTTCTTCCTCCAATCTGCAGAAATGTGTGCCACATTCATCCCTGCAATTTTCTGCTACTCCAACCCCAAATACTTGGTCCAAGGTTTTTCCAAATTGGGTGGCAGCAAGTGAAGCATTGTATAGCTTTTTGCACAGTCCCTGGAAATCATATAAAGCGCGTCCTAGACCATTTAACAGGAGCACCTGGAAACACACTGAGCAAGGACCAGTGGCTGGTGACTGCATCATAAACAAAGATGTGTTACTCTCCATTTTTTTCCAAGGTCACTTTTGTTTTCTCATCTCTACTGTCATATTATTTGCATGGGGGGATGGATCAGTAAATTTAGAACAAATGTAAAACTGGAATCTTCAACCAATCCCCAAACCATGAACTTCACAGCTGCCTTCTAATTTCTTATGGCATCATGATTTCTAAACTGAGCTCCATGGCCAAGAATCTGCTTGCTGGCCTCATCTCAGTATTTCTGGGTTCCAGAAATGTCAGTGGTGTAGTCGGGATGGTGTTCACGCTGCGGCAGCAAAGCCCACAGCCTCAGAACCACCAAAAATTTTGTTAAAAATGTACATCTTTCAAACCCACCCAGAAGCAGCCAGAGATGCCAGATATAGGACCAGCCCCCCTTTGTTTAACAGACCCCCCCACATCCCTCCCCCTGTGTGATTCAGGTCCACACCCATGTCTGAGAAATGCTAATATAGAACAGAGATTCTCAGCCAGGGGACTTTGCCCATGTACGTGTATGTCCTGAATATGAACACACACACACACACACACACACACACACACACACACACACACACACACACAGTGTTATTGGCTTCAGGAGGCAGTGTCTACACAAAGGGAGGTGGGCCCCAAGGAACACTTTCTTCCTCTTTTTCTTCAGCTCTCTCGGCTTCTGGCCCCCTTGACAGGGGCAGCTTCGTGCCTCTGCAACCTCCCTGCCACCTTGTTCTGATGGACCTTAGACATTTAAGTTCTTAAGAAAATTAAGAATTTGAGAAAACTTCCTGCTGTTTGTTTACGCAGCAGCTGCAACATTTGTACCTCCCTGTTAACCATGTCCGAGGGTCCAGTGTCCTCAAATCTTAACCAACATTTGTTATTTTCTCTTCTTTAGATAATGGCCATCTAACATATGTCAAGTGAAGCTTCGTTATGTCTTTGTGTTTGCCTTGTGATTGGTGACTGGGCATATTTTCCCATTCCTGTCAATCATCTACACATCCCCCGGCTTGATGGATTTATATCTTTTGGATTGGCTAGCTGAAGGTTTGTCGGTTTGCTGTTTTCCAAGGGCAGCTTGCAGTGTGGCTAGTTCTCTTCTGTTGTTTTCCTAGTCTCTAGTTTTGTCTAGGTCTGCCCTGGTCTTTATCACTTCATTCATTTGGGACATTGTCTTTTTTTTTTCTAGTTCCTTGAAAGCTAAATTTAAGCATTTAGAGAGGGATTGGCTCCATCAGCACCCCAAGGTGAGTGAAACCCAAATAGTCCCCCAGTCAGTCACTCAAGCAGCCACAGTGTGAGCTGTTCTTTCCCACTCTGAATCCCCAGAAGCTGGCAGGTGGGTCTCTCTTACTATCCGTTTGTTCAATGCTGTGTAGGGGACAGAACTAGGAAAGATGGTTTCCTACAACTTCCCTACTGAGGAGCCAGACCCCTTCACTAGCTCTTGGCATTTTTGTACAAGAGGCTTGCTGGGAATGAAAACTGAAAAGGAGCTGTGTCTGCAGAGACAGATTGACTGATGAGAAGTTCGGTACTGTGGAGAGATTAGAATATTATAGGTCACAAAGCTAAAGATCTTATCCTAGGCTAGCTTTAGGCCCTGGAATGGCCATTCCTTACCCACTGCCGTGTGTGAACTAACATCTTGTGACTAACAAACAGAAACCTGTTGAATTCTCTTGACTTAGCTTCCACCAACCCAGAAGCTAAGAATGTCATCAGATAGCATCTTAGTCCATAGAAAGCTTCCCCCATCTTGTTCTGTAAAACTATAAAAGCTTCATGAAACTGCTTCCACACTGGAACATGGAATTTAGGCTGGTGGATCTCTGAGTTTGAGACCAGGCTGGTCTACAGAGCAAGTTCCAGGACAGCCAGAGCTACACAAAGAAACCCTGTCTCAAACAAACAACAATAACAAAAATAGCTCCATATTCTTGGTTTTCTAAAATAGGTCAAATATTATTTTTTATAAAACAAAAGTTTGACTTAAATATAGAATTTAAGTATGAGTGTTAAGACAGGATGAGAGACATGTCATAAACATCTGACAATGATCTCTGGCTTCTCATGAGTCTGCCTCAAATACAGCTGTGAAAAAGAAAAAATTAAGCTGGATGTCTCAAGACCATGAAAAATAACCCAGATATTTAATATAGTCAACCTCTTTCTTTTTAAAGTGCCCAACAGTACCATGTGTCACCCTGCAACTGGCATGAGGAATCTGGTAGCTCTGCCATCACAAATGCCAATGAGCAGAGACAGAAATTCAATCCTTCAACTATGATTTATTTTGAGGCCTGGCAATCTGAGAAGGCAGTGGATTAACACCCTAAAAAAATTCTGCCTTCCAGCTCATCATCCAGCAGATTATACAGGGAGAACCAGGAGGCTAGAAAAAAAGGCAGAGAGGCATCCTGGAGTTCGTTCTTGGCTGTCTGATCAAGTTATGTCTCTGAGACTTGTGATGTCTGGCTGTCTGGCTAGCACTCCTCCCTATTCTCTGGATGTGTGGGCTCAGGCACTTCCTAAATTTCTGAGTCTAGTTAATGTGCACTAATATCAATTTGTAGTCCTCTAGGGGCATCTGGGATGGAGGTGGGTTAAATCAAAACAAATACACCATTAACAGTGTTGGTGCTGAGATATTACTGTGTCTATGCTGACTCCAACCTCCAGTAGGGAATCTATCTATCCCTCCATCCACTACCAATACTCTGGGGGAGAAAGGGAAAGGATGTGGTAGGATGGCTCCCCGACCTTTCCATTCTGTCACCTTTCACGAAGCGTCAGATGGAAGGCCTGAAGTAAGTCCTGGGTGTGTTCCATCTTCACTGTCAGCAAGCATGCCAGCACACTCTGTCAGGGCAAGGGAAGTGAGGAATCACATGACCCCCATCTGAAGATGCAGCCTTGACATTTTCAGTAACCAAATATGGTAACAGGTCATCCCCTCCTGCACTATAAGGACACATGTCTTGATGCAAAACACAGATCTCATCTTGAAGGGAATGAGGGACCGTTTATTCTGGAGACAAATACAAATGGCTATTTCCCAGGAAGACGGATGCAAGTTGCCCAAGTAACACATTCCAGATGCAGAACCATTTCGTGAAGTTTTATAGTTACAGAACAAAAGAAAGACCTAAGTCAAAGAATTTTAAAAATACCTGAGTGGAGACATGGGGTTGACAAGGTTCTAGTGAAACAGAGGAATGTGCACCTGGCCTTCAGATGCTATTTGAAGAGATGCTTAGTTCTTGGGTTGGTGGGAGCTAGTCATCTGTTAACATCCTAAAATGACATACCTGGCAGTCACAGGGACTTTTGGTGGGACACAGAATTACCTGGGCAGTCAATGACTATTCAGAGGCTAAAAATAGCCCAAGACAACACGGCTTTGATCTGCAACAGTCCAGCTCTCTACAGCGATGGTATTCAGTCTTCAATAGCTGGTGGCCTCAAAGTTACCTCATTTTGTTTGTTTTTTGTCAAATTCATGTTGTTGAACCACCCCATCAGAGACCAAATGTGGGTAGTGAGGTTCCAGAAACCTACATTTTTTTTAGTTTAAGCTGTTTCATATACATTCTATGGAAAATATAATTATGTCATTTTCCTCCTTCTCTTTCTACCTCCAGATCCTCCCACATCCCCTCCACTCTCAAACTGATAGCCTTTTTCTTTGATTATTATTGTTACATAATGTATATGTGTGCACAAATATATATGTGCAACCTGATGAGTCCACTTTTGCTGTTT